ATTAGAAGTTTAAGACCATTAGTAACTCCTCAGAAGAAAATCCTGGGGATCTATGTGCAGAAAAGCCAACTTTGGAAACCCCTTGAAGCACAGTTCGACTCTGACCCACATGAGGTTGCGCTAAATCAGCTCCACGGGGACCAGAATTTGGCTTGAGTAGGCAAACATAGTTGGTTGCTCGGCAACTAGCCTTGCTGTTTTCTTGGAAGGAAAGTTGTACACAGTAACTTTCATTATATGTGTATGTGTGTATTTCAGAAGATATATATATATTCTATGATGTATTGCCTCCCCACTTTTCCCCAGGCATTTAGAGAAGAAATTGCACCTATCAACCTAAAAGTTAAGACAGTGAACGATTTATCCAGCCAGCTGTCTCCACTTGACCTGCATCCATCTTTAAAGATGTCTCGTCAGCTGGATGACCTTAATATGCGGTGGAAACTTTTGCAGGTATTGGTTTACCCCTCTTCAGATACACCCTTCCTCCTGGGTTGGTCTTTAAGCTTTACCTTCAGTATTCTATCATCATTTTGCTCTTTCCTTCTTGATAGCATGTGTTAATGAATTTAACATGTGACAGCATCAGGTCTTTAGCTCTCAGTATCTCGCGTTCAGGGGCAACATAGATTTTAATCTAATATTTTGTATATTCTCGTTATGCATAAAGTTACAAAAAATCAAGTTAGTTATAGTAAAACTTGGTAGTTGTTATAGAAACTTTTTTTTTTTCAAATGGCTCATAAAGAAATCACTTTTCTTAATGATTTTTTTTCCTGTTTCCCTCTAAAATTAAGGAATACCCCATTTTCCTCCTTGCAGCTGGTTCCTTACTTACAGGGCTTGATCCCCTGTTGCCCCGCCCTCCCACCAGATAGCACGTTTATGTATTGTGCTCGGTACTTGTAGCTATTAGCTCCTATTCTGGTGGTTGTTAGTTGTCTTTGAGTTGCTACAGAATCATGGTGACCTGTTGTCTAAGAGAACGAAGCCTTGCTTAGTCCTGTGCCATCTTCATGACCTTCGACGTCCTTGAGCTCCTTGTTGGGGCTGTTGTGTCAGGGCACCCCACCAAACATTCCCCTCCTTGCTGAGCCCCCACTTTTCCAACCATGATGTCCTTTTGTAGTAATTAGGCTTTTTTGATGATGTGTCCGAAGTACGAGAGTCAGAGTCTCAAGATCCTCACTGCTAAGGACTATGCCCAGTTGTACTTCCTCTAAGACTGGTTTGTTTTTCCTCTGGAAGTCCAGGGTATCTTCCATAGGCTTGACCAACACCCTAGTTGGAGTGCTTTGGTTTTCTGTTGTCTTTCTTCCCTTTTTCATGCCCACGAGACGATTGAAAAGCCCAAGGCTGGGGTCAGGTGCACATTAGTCATCAAAGAGGTCTTAGCAACTGTAGCTTAGTTATTAAGATGATTCTGGACCTTACTCACTTCTCTTAGATTTACTAGCATCAAACTAAGAGTTACCTTCTGGAGCATAGCTAGGTATCAGTATTTGTAGGCCACCGATTAGGAGCATTTGGCTTAATCTTTGTGGAGCTGTGACCACATTCAGTGGCCCGTTCTAAGTTTTATCATAATAAAACAAACAAAAACAAACCCTAAATGCTATCATGAAAACTTGACTGGAAGATTGAAAAATCAAGTCTTATTAATTTCATTTTGGGTTAAAATGTGCTATTTAATACATACTCAATTTTGATGCAGTATGTAACACATTTTCCACAGAAACCAACCAAGCTCATTGCCCCTGAGCTGCTTCCAGCTCAAGCTAACCCCCGTGTGTCCATAGAGTAGAACTGCTCTGTCGGTTTGCTGGGCCATCGTCTGGTGGAAGCAGGTCACCAGACCTTTCTTCACAGTGCACAGTGGCCCACAGTGGAGTTCATACCAACAACCACAAGCACAAGCTCAGGACCTTAACTTATATATTTTGTTCCTTAAAAGTATAAGCAGGTGAAAAGGCATTGGATGTTGTCAAGTAGTCATAAGCAAGTCAGAGCAACTAGCAAGCAAAAGCCTTGGGGTAATTAGGCAATCCTGAGTCACTCTTATTTGCAGAATAGATATCTTCAGGCAGGAGAGGGTTGAGGAGCTGCCTCTGCCAACAGGCAGCCAATCAACAGCTTTGCTGCTGGCAGATGCCTCTGGTTTTCTTGTGTAAAGAAGACTTCCCAGACTCATTCTCTCTTAGGAAAGTCCAGCCCAAATGCGACACGGTGATTCTTTATATTAGGACCTATAGCAGCCCTAGATCCACTTGAAAACTGAATGCAAGCCTGTTAACAACCCGGGCCCTCCGCACCTCGTGGCTGTGTAAGAGCCAGTTGCTTTGCCAGTCACTTTCCAACTTTAAGTGCAAACATGTTCCTATCAAGTGGTTGCCTCAGATGAAACAGTAAAATGGAGATTCAAATGACAAAAAACTGAATCAAGGCTAGAAATGGGTATGGTAACATTTTTCAGATATCGCATATAATTAAAAGATGCCTAATCATTTAAGTTGCTGTGCATTCTACTTATTCTCTTCATTTACTTATTTAGATTCTCTGGGTTACAAATGATCTGACTTACTGTATATACTCGAGTCTAA